TTGAAACTGAATGCCTTTAACACACCCAAGTCATCTCTTGAATACTTTGCTGCTTAGAAATTTCTTCTGCCAGATACTCTAAATCATCTCTCTTAAGTTCAAAGTTCCACAAACCTCTAGGGCAGGGGCAAAATGTCACTACTTTCTTTGCTAAAACATAACAAGAGTCACCTTTGCTCCAGTCCCCAACAAGTTCCTCATCTCCAACTGACAGCACCTCAGTCTGGATTTTATTGTCCATATCATTATCAGCAATTTTGTCAAAGCTATTCGACAAGTCTCTAGGGAGTTCCAAACTTTCCCACTTCTTTTTGTCTTCTTCTGAGCCCTCCAAACTGTTCCAACCTCTGCCTGTTACCCAGTTCCAAAGTTGCTTCCACATTTTAGGGTATCTTTTCACCAGTGCCCCACTCTACTGGTACCAATTTACTGTATTAGTTTGTTTTCACACTGGTGATAAAGACATACTGAGACTGGGTAAATTACAAAAGAAAGAGGTTTAGTGGACTTACAGTTCCACGTGGCTGGGGAGGCCTCACAATCATGGCAGAACGTGAAAGGCACTTCTTACATGGTGGTGGCAAGAGAGAATGAGGGAGAAGTGAAAGCAGAAACCCCTTATAAAACCATTAGATCTTGTGAAACTTATTCACTGCCATGGAACAGTAAGGGGGAAACTGCCCCACCAGGTCCCTCCCATGACACATGGGAAATCAAGATGAGATTTGGATGGGGACACAGCCAAACCATATAATGTTTATTTCAATGTTTACACATTTCTTAATTGTAAGACCCCAGATCTCCTAGTTTCTTCTGAGTGCCCTCTGCTTCCATAAAGGTCTCAGGTAGGAAACCATTTATTGGCATCTAAATATTATTCCACTTTTGATTCTAGCTCTCTCCTCATCAGGGTAATTTGTTGTCCCTGAAGCTACTCCATGAAGCTTTACAACTTATTGTCATAGCACTTGATTTGCTTTCTAAGTGTCTTAAACATCACCTCTAATGGGCCAGGTGTGGTGGCTCACACCTCTAATCTCAGCAGTTTGGGAGGCCAAGGCAGGTGGATCATAAGGTCAGGAGATTGAGACCATCCTGGCTAACATTGTGAAATCCCATCTCTACAAAAATACAAAAAAAAAAAGTCAGGTGTGGTGTTACGCACCTGTAGTCCCAGCTACTCAGGAGGCTGAGGCAGGAGAATCACTTGAACCCAGGAGGCAGAGGTTGCAGTGAGCTGAGATTGGGTCACTGCACTCCAGCCTGGGTGACAGAGTGAGACTCCATGTCAAAATAAATAAATAAATAAATAAATAAATAAATAAATAAACAAACCTCTAATGTACCTCACAAGAAACATCAACTTACGCTGTTATGCCTCTTGCAAATATTGTTACTTATGTGACTTCTACCAGTTCATTACAGATAATCTGAAGTGTTGCCCTCTCTCTACAGCCTTTTTTGAGAACATTTGCTGATAGGTTTTCCCCCTCAGTTGGTAAATCTGTACCCACCAATGAAGGTCTGACTTGTAGGGAGGTATATATAACCGTAGTTGCTTTTTAATATAGTGGCTCATTATTCTAATAAGTTGAAACATAACAATCTTTGTTTAAGCATATGCCAAAAATGAGTTAGATACTTTTAATACATTGCTTCTAATCTTCACAGTAATTTTTCAAATGGGATAATTATTATTCTAATTTTACAAATGAAGAATTAAGGATCAGAATGTTTAAAAGACTTACCCCAAATCACATATCAACTAAGCAAAGTCTGTACTTTATTCGTTACATGTAATACTTTCTCTCATGCCCCCCCCCCTTTCCTCCAGCTGCCTTTGTTTTCTTCTGGACTTAAAAAATTATGCAGCATTTTACTTATCTAGCAATTAAACTTCTAATCTCAATAAACTAGAAAGATTCACAGAAAGCAAAACATAAAATAAAGTAAAATAAAAAGCCTGTAGTCATCAAGAAAAATAGTAATTATAGCAACCAGATATCTAACATTAGTTTCAACACAGAACCTGTACATCTTATATTGTATAGGAAAGATGTAATAAGCGTCACTACATAATTATAGGTGGTAGCATATTAGAAGTTGTAGAAAAATGTCACTATTGTCTATCAGGGAGGAAGTAAAAATCATTTACCAGGAAAGCAAAGCAAATGAGGACCATTCACTAAAAGAGAAAACAGTTCTATATTTCTTAATAGTTGAGGTCATCTTATATAAAGCCACATTAAAATAATTTGCGTCATCATGTTGTTTATCTACTTTATAGGCTCATTTGCTAAAAGGATTATATGAATTATCATCAATATGTTACTTTAGTGAGTAGTTCTTCCTACATGTTTAGAGCTTTTAGCTGAAATAGATATTACATAGAGAATATAAAACAGCACCTCATAAACATTCATTGTTTAGTTTAAGCTGGTTTCTTGAATATCTTAAGCACTTGGATTGCTGAACTCATCAGGGAATGCTTTAGTTGGTAGCTATATTTCATTGCCTGTATTGAAATGTTATACGATAATTACTCGCTAACTTTTAGGAAACATGTAATTAATATGCATATATTTTAAGATTCAAAGATAATTTTTTTCACATTTAATATTTCTGTAATTGGGATAGTTTTATAACTCTGATCGACATCTTCTATAAAAAGTTTTTTTTTTTTTTAAATCAGTGATCTGTCTTTCAGGAAAATACATACAACCATGTTAATTTCAGTCTGGTCAGAGCAAAAATTGAAAAACAACCCAAGAGCCATCAATATAAAAGAAAGTGGTTAAATTACAGTAAATTCATACCATGAAATTCTATCATGCATGGTACTATCATAAAGGTAGCCAACATGAATTAAGTGTGATGTTTACTAAGTTTAAATGAGCAAGGTAAACAAATATCCACAATTTCTACTTAAATACTTAGACTACAATTTTTGTAGCTGGATGTTAGTGTCCTATATTATGTAATAAAAATATGCTGATCAAAGAGTGTGGAAGGTATGTTTGTCAGTGTTTCCACTCCACCCTTAGCTTTCAGCAGGTCCTCTATGCTTGCACTACAGGTAGGGTTTTCCTCTGCTCTCTTGACTCACCTATATTGGTGGAGTGCTGTTGTTTTTTCACTCATGCAAAACTCCTCATCGAGGCAGAGGCTAGGTTGCCCCTGGTCCAGCCTCAATTTTGCACAGGCCCCGAATGCCTGAACCTCAAGGTTTGGGCTTTGCCTTGTTTCAGTGGGGTTGTTGGGAAGAAATGAAGTTCCTGTTCCTCTCTTTTTGGCAGACTGTTTTTATTTCTATCCCTCTCTCTGGTGGCAGTCAATCTTAAGGTAGGCCATAGGACGGGATGGTTTGCTGCTCCTCCTTCAGTGGGTTTTTTCTTCTGTAACAGATAAACTTTGTCACAGACTGGAGGGCATGAGAGTTTCCTGCCTCAATCCCAGAGGCAAAACTGCTTTTGCTTTGGATAGCAGAAGGGTCAGTGGAGGTGGGAGGGTAAGTATTCCTTCTTTCTCAGTGACAGTCTACCACCACCAAAGGCTTTCTTCTCTTAAGCAAAGATCTGGTAAATGGGTATAGACTCCCTTTGTTTCTTAGGCTTCTAGGGTTTCTAAACTGTTAAACTTCCCCTGGTCTTTAAGAATTCATTAAAATTTTAAGTGTTTCTATCTTCCTTTACTACTGCTCTTTTTTCCTTCTGTGCTCTTTGAAAAGCAAAATGGTTTGTGTGTCCCATCCCTTTTCTGAGGGGCTTGTTGTCCTTTAGAATCAATTTGCTAGTTGCTTTACAGCAACCATAGCTATAGAAATGTAGCTCTCTGATGAAAAAGAAATATTTTTTCATATTATCCAGCTTTGTTGTTGTTGTTATTATTGGGGTGGGGGTTACATTTTATTTGGCTTTCTATATTCTGGGTAGAAGCAAAATTCCCAGTACCACTCATTTTTAATGGAGTTGTCTTTTCCTCTCTCCACCCAAGCAGTACCCATTCTGGTTTTGAAGCACAAAAGTAAGAGTCCACCACTCCCCACTGTCTTTCCTACCTCCTAGGAATCCTACGGTTTTTGTTTGTTTGTTTATATTTATTGTCATGAAGCAATGTAGAGTCAAGATCAGGCTTCAGGTCCGTGGTTCTTAATTCTTCGTTCCCTGGTCTACCAGGCCAGCACTATTGGAGCAGCACAGAATCTTGTTGAAGAGCTGAATTGGTTTTGGCAACACAATGTCCAATCCATAGGAGAGAAGATAGTGCCACCTATCCTGGAAAGTCACCCTCCACATATACATGGCCTAAAGAGCTTATATATCAGCCTAAGAAAAGAAAACCAATAAGAAGTTGCATTTTCCTTAAAAAAAAAAAAAAAAAAAAAGCCACGTTTCATATCCTACTACTCTTCTACCCTTCACTTACATTCTTTCTCTTCTATAAACTTTTTTTACCTGAAAAAATAATCCTCTGGTTCTCATGCCCTCATTTAAGGTGGAAAATAATAATCTTTTCTGTTCTTGAGTTGGGATAGGGTTTCTAGGACAATCATTTCTATGTGTAAAACACTTCACTTAAGGACATTCATTTGGACATTGATTTCTGATATTTGTGCCTCCAAATCTTTTACTGTGGTGAAATTTTTTGTTTGTTTGTTTGTTTGTTTTTCCAATGTCTTCTGCTCTCTCCTGGTCCTTCAACAATTTTCAGGTTGTTTCTAGTGAGATATTTCCGTTGGAAAGCCACCACAATAAAGTGATTCTGGGGAAACCGGGGACAGACAGTTCCACTTTTTTTTCCATGCTTCCTAATGAGTATTATTTAATAAATAAGTACTGGCAATCTTTGACTGCCATTAAAATTACTCTGGTGCTCCTTGTCTGTGTTAGCAGTTATCAAAACCTACTTGTAGCATTTTTTTTTTTTTTTTCCCTTTCGCACGTGGAAGAAAAGAAGGAAAAAAGCCTTGGAAGTTCTCAACTGTCAACCCCCTGCGAGGACGTTTGCCTCCTGCCCTAGGAGAAACGTTCGCTCCGGAGGCTTGGGCTGCGGAGCCCGTTGTGGCCACTGAGTCCTTCGACGCCCTCGCCAGGCTGGCCTTTGGGTTGGCCCAGACAGGACGGGCTGCAGAGAGCACTTGGGCCGCGTCGCCAGGAGGCGCCCAAAGTGAGCCATGCCCGAAGACGTCGCCCGGCGCTCTGAGGACCAGTATGAAGTCCCAGGAAGAGTAGAGCCGCGGGAGGCCGCACGGGCCCGGCCTGCTAAGGACTGGAGGGCCAGGGAATCCCTGAAGTCCTCGAAGTCCTCAAAGTCCTCGAAGAAGGTCGGGAAAAAATACCGGTATCTGAGACTACTTCCAGAGGCCTTGATAAGGTTCGGCGGTTTCCGAAAAAGGAAAAAAGACAAGTCCTCAGTTTCCAAGAAGCCGGGAGAACTGGATGACAGTTCGGAGCAGCCCTGTGGTTTGGGCTGTCTAGTCAGCCCCTGCTGTGAGTGTTGCAATAACATTTGCTGCTTCATGGTTTTCTACTGCATCCTCGTCTTATGTCAAGGTGAGCCTGAAGGACGCGGGGTGTTGTGGCGAGGGCAGCAGGGGGCCGCACCGGAGGAGGTGGGAGAGGGAGGATGGCAGAGGACGCCCTGGGGTGGCCCAGCCTGAGGCTGCTGTCTGACTTCTCAAGGCGTTGTCGGATCAAAGTTTAGCCACCAATGGGTTTACCTTGCCCGCTGCCTAGACAGAGCAGATTTATCAAGAAAGGGAAATTGCCATGGAGAAAGAGTAAGACACGCAGAACCGGCTGTGCGGGAGACCAGAGTTTTATTATTGCTCACATTAGTCTCTCCAGCATTCTGGGATGGGATCAGAGTTTTTAAAGATAATTTGTCAGGCAGCTGCTCGGAAACTGGGGAGTGCTGATTGGTCAGGTTGGTCAGGAACCTGTCTAAGGTTCCTGGGGATGTCCTAGTGGGGCCGAAGTCAGGTTTTCTTGCCATCTTCTGTTCCTGGGTGGAATGGCAGAAGTAGCTGACCCAGATTGCCAGTCTGGGTGGTGTCAGTTCATCCATCCAGTGCAGGGTCTGCAAAATATCTCAAGCACCAATCTCGGGTCTTACAATAGTGATGTTTTCCCTGGGAGCAATTTGGGGAGGTTCCGACTCTTGGCGCCAGAGGCTGCATGACCCCTAACCTTAATTTCTAATCTTATAGCTGATTTGTTAGTCCTGCAAAGGCAGATTAGTCCCCAGGCAAGAAGGGGATCTTTTCACAAAAGGGTTATTATCAATTTTGTTTCAGAGTCAAACCATGAAATGAATTCCTTCCCAAAGTTAGTTCGACCTAAGCTCAGGAATGAACAAGGAGTTTAAATCCCAGGAATGAACAAGGAGTTTAAAGGTTAGAAGCAAGGAGGAGTGGATTAGGTCTGATCTCTTTCACTGTCATAATTTCTTCAGTTACAATTTTTGCAAAGGTGGTTTCAAAAACAGGTTAACCGGCTGGGAGGAGCTTCGGTGCCTCACCTCCTCCAGTACCTGATTTGGCACAGTCCATCCTACACATTGTGGGTGATGAGGGCCAGGCTTCCAGATAGCCGGCTGCAGAGAGGTGTTGTTGAGTCATTTATCGTTGTTTGTCACCAACTCTGAGAAGTTCTGGGCTGAATCACCTGGAGTTTAAAATAAAGTTGAAAACGGTGTCTATGATCATTGAATGGTTTCTGCTCCTGCTCATAAATTTGAGACATTCTGACTCAGCCACTGTGTATTGGATCTTGTTTCCTCATCTATGAATTTATACCAGAGAACCTAAACTTGAGGGTGTTATTTTTGCTCATATATTTTGAAGAAGGTGAATTTGAACACCTTTAGACCTGGCATGCTTCTCTACTTGGCCACAGCTCTCACCTCCCCTATTACATCAAGATTCTTTACTAGCCTCTTTTCAATGATGGCATTGGAATTTGACAAACCTGTTCTCTTTTTTGCTCTAAGATGCTAGGTCTAAGTAAGTGCAATCAGAAGGCTGTACGTGGTAAGACCCATATTAGAAAAACAAACACATAGTCATCGAGTTTGTCTTGAGATCATCAAAGAAGTTTCTTAGAAGAACAAGCATTTGAACCATGCCTTTATAGTTAGGTACAGTTTTGAAAGTCAGAATGAAGTTAAAGAGTATTTGTTGAATAGGGAAGCGAGTTAATGAATCAGTGTTTTGTTTTAGAAAGGCTTGTTTCACAACGGTGAATGACAAGTTTGGCCAGATAATGGTTTCATCTAGGCACCATAAGGGGGTAATTATATTTATATTATCCATCATGTCTCCTTAGTGACTGAGGTATAGAAGACACTCAATAAATACGTATTCAGTGCATAAATGAATTTTAAAAGGAAGGAAAAGACAGATTATGCCTGGATTATGAAGGCCTTTAAATACCAGACAGAATTCTGAAAGGATATAAAAGGTATTTACTTCCCACTCTGTTGGATCATGAGTAAGGTGCTTTGCAAGTATTATCTAATTTAGTGTAATCCCCTTATTAGATGGGTAATGAGGAGCCATTGAAGGTTTCTGAACAAGTGATTGACAGTATATGGTTTTAGCTCTGTAACTTAACTGACTTCATATAGGTAGTTAGCTCAGTTTGGTATAATATTGAGTCTTCCATTCATAAAAATGGTCTATTTCTTCATTTTTCTATTTGTCAATTGATCTATTTTTAGTTACATTGTAAACAATTTTAAAATCATTTCAAACACGCAAAAGGAATGCAAAGGCAGTACAAACAATACCTGCTTCCCTGCGAGTGAACCAGAATCTTCATCTGTTAACATTTTACCACATTTGTTCCTTTACCTTCTCTTTCCCTATACATGCCCACTTTTTCAGACATGGTGCACCATTACTGCTAACTACTCCAGTGTGCAACTTCCCAAAGTGAGACACTCTCTCACATAACCATCATACACTCCTCACAGACAGGAATATCAGTACAATACTACCATCTAATTATGAACTGGTGGTCCCATCCAGATATTGCCAGCTGTCTCAATATTGTCTTCTTTTCATTTTGGGGCCAAAATTCTATACAGGGACATATGTTGCATTAAGTTGTCAGATTTTAGAAGTCTTCTTTAATCTGTAACACTTCCTCATATTTTCTTCTTGTGTCTTATGTCCTTGGAAGTCTTACAGAGTATGGCTTTTTTTGTAGTGCAGGATGAACTTCAATCTGGGTCTATTTGATGTTTCCTTATGACCAGACTCAGACCTTTCTTCCCTCCCTTCCTCTCTTCTTCTCCCTCTCCCTCCATCCTTCCTTCTCCTTTATTTAGATATACTTTACATATAATAAAATTCACACTTTTCGAAGTATGTCATTCAATGAGTTTTAGTAAATATGTACAGACATGCAACCACCAATGCAATCAATTTTATTATTTATTTATTTAATTAATTTTGAGACTGAGTCTACTGAGTCTTGCTCTTGTTGCCAGGCTGTAGTGCAATGATGTGATCTTGGCTCACTGCAACCTCTGCCTCCCTGTAGTTGGGATTACAGGTGCCTGCCACAATGCCCGGCTAATTTTTTTGTATTTTTAGTAGAGACGGGATTTCACTATGTTGGCCAAGCTGGTCTCAAACTCCTGATTTCAGATGATCCACCCACCTTTGCCTCCCAAAGTGCTGGGATAACAGGCATAAGCCACCGTGCCTGGCCAATGCAATCAATTTTAGAACTTTTCCATCACACTAAAAGTTTTTTCATACTCCTTTGCAGTCACTTGCTGCTCCTACCTCCTGCCTTAGGTGACCTTAACCTGCTTTCTGTCATTAGAGTTTTGCATTTCCTAAAATTTAATATACATGGAATCATACAGTTTCTAGTTTTTTTTTTTTTTAATTTCTGGCTTCTTTTAATAGCTTGATGGTTTTGAGATTCATTCATGTTGTTGTGTGTATTAACAGTTTGTTCTTTTTTATTGTGAATAGTATCATCGAATGGAATTTTATCCACTATATCCACTCAGTAGTTGATGGACAGTTGGGTTGTTTCTATATTTTTTTGACTACCATAAATAATGCTGTTAAGAGGAATTGCATATGCGTATTTGTGTGGACATATGTTTTTGTTTCTGTTGGATAGATAACTAGGAATAGAGTTGCTGGGCTACATAAGTATTTAAGTGTACCTGCTAGAAACTGCCAAATTACAAAGTGGCTGTACCATTTGCAATCCTACCAGTCAGCAATATATGAGTTCCAGTTCCACATTCTTAATAGTTAGTATTGTCAGTTCTTAACATTTTAGCTATTCCAGTGATTGTCTAATGGGATCTCACTGTGATTTTTTTGTTTTTTTGTTTTTGTTTGTTTGTTTTTTTTTTTTTTTTTTGAGACGGAGTCTCACTCTGTCGCCCAGGCTGGAGTGCAGTGGCCGGATCTCAGTTCACTGCAAGCTCCACCTCCCGGGTTCATGCCATTCTCCTGCCTCAGCCTCCCGAGTAGCTGGGACTACAGGCACCCGCCACCTCGCCCAGCTAATTTTTTGTATTTTTTAGTAGAGACGGGGTTTCACCGTGTTAGCCAGCATGGTCTCGATCTCCTGACCTCGTGATCCGCCCATCTGGGTCTCCCATAGTGCTGGGACTCACTGTGATTTTAATTTCATTTCCCCAATGACCAATTGTCTTGAACATCTGTTTATATGCTTTTTATCCATTTGTGTGTCTTTGCTTGTGAGGTGCCCTTTAATAAATTGGGTTGTTTCTCTTATTACTGAGTGTAGTGTTCTTTATACAATCTGGATGCAAGCCTTTTGTTGAATAAATATTTACAAATATTTTCTCCCAATCCGTGGTTTGCTTTTGAATATTTTTCTGTGTCTTTTTGATGAAAAAAGGATTCAACTTTCAACTTTGATGAAGTATAACTTATTAATCTTTTAAATGATTCATTCTTTTTGGTTTTTATCATGGAAACTATTGCCTAACTCAATGTCATGAAGGTTTTCTACTTTGCTTTTTTCTAGAAGTTTTACAGTTTAACTCTCATGTTTAGGTCTCTGATCCATTTTGAATGAATTGTTTTAGTGTATGAAAGGATCAAGTTTAAAATTTTTTTCATATAGAAAAAAATGCTTTATTCCAGTATAGTTTACTGAAAACAGTGCCCTTTAATCCATTAAATTATCTTGGAAGTTTTGTGGAAGCTCTGATCTCTTTCTGAGTCTATTTAGAGGCTTTCTATTCAGTTCTATTTTCCTAATACATCTATACTTATGCAAATATTATATTGCATTGGTTACTGTAGCTTTATTATATGCATTAGAATCAGGTATCCTTTTGACTTCATTCTTTTTAAAAGTTGTTTTGGCTATTCTAGATCTTTGCTTTTCCATATAAATTTTAGAATAAATTTGTCAGTTTCTATAAAAAAGTTACTGAGATTTTGTTGAGTCTATAAATTTGGAGAAAATTGACTTCTTAACGATAGTAAGAGTCCTGGTGACTGAACTTGCTGGATATATCATCTTCATTTACATCTTCTATCCTG